AAGCGCCCTAGCGCCGTGTAACCTCGAGCCGCCGTCGTCGCCGCCGCTCCAGCCGTGCGTCGCCGCCGTTCCGGTCGTCGTCGTCGCTCGGGGAGGTCGCCATCGTGGTCGCCAAGTCATCGCCGTCCTCGTTCGCCTCTTCGCCGTCGCTGTAGACCGCCGGAACACCGCCGTCGTCGTCAAGCCGAAGGTCGCCGCCGCCTTTTCCTCGACGTCGTCGCCGTCCGTTGATCTTCCGCCGCCGTTTTGGTCACCGGTGAGTTCGCCGCGTCGCGCTCTACGTGCTGGTGCCCTCCGTTCGCGTCGTCGCGCCGTCGTTCGCCGGCGAGCTTGCGCGCCCGAGCCGCTGAGCCGTCGCCGGAGATGACGTCACTGCTGACGTCATCAGGATCCGTCTGCCGTGAGCCGCCGTAGACCCGATCGATCTCGGCCGTTCGTTTTGGATAAGATCGATCTCGGCCGTCCGTTCCCGTGAACCGCTGCCGTGCGCCCGGTCCACCGTAAACCCTAGCCGCTGACGCAATAAACCTCTTTTCCTTTTCAAAAATAATTCAGTATTGCGTCATAATTCAATTAAAATCCATATAATTGTTTTAATCCGATTTAATCTTCAAAAATTCATAACTAATTCATCTTAGCTCGGATTTAGTTGGTTCAAGTCTCTAAATTTTTCTAAAATTGAGATCTACATGTTAAAAATATCCACATGTATTGTTCATGCTTGTTTATGTGCTGTTTGGTTATTTTTCTCTTTTCTGTTTAGATTCCGACGTTTCCGGAGAGTCCGTTTTCGCAGGAGAAGAATTTGAAGAGTTCCAAGGCCAGCAAGGCAAGTCACACAGATCCCAAACAACCCTTTGAGCATGTTGATCCCGTTTAAAGCTACTGTTTCTATTCAACTATTGCATTTATTTTCGAATGTCATTGGGTGGAATTAACCTATTGTTTGTTATAGCCCTTTTTCTTCTTGATCACTTTATTCCTTGATACCTTGGGTTATTACAACTTGACTAGTTGGGCTATATATATATTGGTTCCACTAGATATTAGATATGATTGCTTAGCCATGCTTAGAAACATTAGCACACTATTGGGATAACTTAAGGTTCACTATTAATTAATGATGGCTCAATGATAGTTCACGACGGTCAATCATGATTGGTTAATTAATTACTTGCCAACTAAAACCTGATAATGGTGGGTTGTGAGCACATGGTTTTGAGAGTCGTGCTCATGACAATTAAGGACCGGTTCACGAGTTTCGGTTGTGAAACATTAATCGTGCCAACCACAAGCCAGCGTGGGCAACGGCTTTACCTTTTGTATAGCATGGTTTATTGCGGAGTACCAGACTGAGAAGTGGCGGAGATAAGCCCACGGGGGTCGCTGGGGAGTCCATGCCTTGTTTATAAGGGGGTGATTATGATCCAGGAATGGTGCGCTACGGTGGATTGTGTTATGCAAGGGGTATTGTCACAGCTCCTTTCCGAGGTACCGTGGTGGTATTGAGGCACATGGTGACATGATGTGGGGCTGTGTCTTGTGGGTACAGTGGTACACCTCTGATCAGAGTAAAACTATTCGAATAGTCGTGCCCGCGGTTATGGGCGGGTCTAACAATGTCTTTCGTGATTAGTCTCACACCTCTCATCACAATAAAAGATGCTATAACTGGTAATAATTTGATTAGCTCCTGGTTTGGAATGGTATATTCCTGGTTTGGAGATAGAACTGTGCAGCCGGGATGGTTGTTCAGAATGGTTGGGCCTATACAACAGGGTATGTTGTATAGCGTTGGATTAATATTGTTTAATTATTACTTAACTGTTTTATTAAATTCTCAAATGTTTGCTAAATGCTGTTTTTGCAAATGAAACCCTACTATGCCATCCTTTGGTATCCTTGTTCACTTGCATATTTGCTGCGTGGCTTGCTGAGTATGTCATATACTCACCTTGCAATCATTCATCAGAGGAAGAGTTCTACAATGATGCTGATGGTGTGGAGGATTAGGTGTAGCCCTGGTCAAGCTGCCTGTGGAGTGGAGCCGTCTGCGCCGTTTATCTTATTTTCCGCTGCTTAGATCTTTATTGATTGAGAGGAACTATCTACCTCTGTAATGACATTTTATTCGCTTATTAATTAGGGTAATAATTGTACTCAATTATCAATTTGTTATTGTGTGCCTCGGCTGATTCCTGGACGAGGGTTCACACACATGTAAGCGTTTGGAATTTTGGATAGAAATTCCGGGCGTGACAATTAGGCAAGCTCATGGTTCAGCCGAACCCCCATCTCAGCCGTTCAGGCTGGGGTTTGACGTGGACACTCTGGATGAACTCCTGATGGTAGTTGCGGGGCATTTCCAAAAATTCGCATGCTCTACAACCGTAATACCTGCCTATCTAAGGAGCTCTCATCCTCACATCTCAACACACTCAAGCAAGAAGCTTTGGATCTCTCTCTCAAGTTTAGTTTAGTGCTCTAGTGCTAAGTGGAGTAGAATAGGATAGTTCTCTTAGTCCTCGAGTCTTTAGGAGATTTAGGTTATGGCACTAGTAGCTTTTCTCTCTTTTCTTGTAAGGCTACTTGAATTAATAGAATATTCTTCTTTATATATCTTCGGTAATTTATTTTATCCGAGTATCGACTTGACTTTATATTTGTCTCAATATAGTTGTGTAACTAGCTTGCCAGAGAGGTGCAGTGGCATGGGTTTAATGTTCATGCAAATGATTGCTCTATATTATTCCCGAGGGTATATAGCAGTATTTAATAATGTAGGCATGGTGCTTAGATTATTAGATAGGAATAAGTCCACTTTCACTTCCTTAAAAGTGACCCAAATCTAATCCGTGACCCTCAACTATAAAATCGGATAGGACGACTCCCCGAACTATTCAAACCAGTGCAATTTAACTCCCTTAGCGGTTTTGGAGGGCGGTTTTGCTGACGTGGCGCTGACGGGGCATTGTTGACTTGGTCTTCATCCCATGTGGCGCTTATATGGCATTAGAATTTTAAAAAATATCTATGGGACCCATCTGTAATTGACACACAAAAAATATTGTGGGACCCACTGACATGTTGGCCCACATGCCATCCTCTCTATCTCTCTTCTTCCTCCTCCCTCTCTCTCCCTCCTTTCTCTCTCCCCATTTATCTTCCCCTTGTCTCTCGTGACGCAGTGGGCGGGTAGGGGCACCGTCACGCCATCGCATCGATCTAGAAATGGTCGGCGGGGAGGGGCGCTGCCGTCATCGCTGGAGGTGTTGAGGTAGGGAGGTGGCATCGGAGGTGTCTCGCGACACGATCGACGGGAAGGGGCGCCGGCGGTGTCGATCTAGACTTTTGGAGCCGGTTGGCTTGGAGGGGCGTCGGCGGCAAGCACCATCGAGGTCGAGGGTGGGGACATCATGGACCCCCGCGGCAGCGGCGGTGGCGGATGTGGGACGTCGACGGTGGAGACACTCCATGAGCGGGAGAGGAACTTGAGCGGGTTGAGCGGCGACTCTGGCAACGTGTGGCGACCCTAGTGGCCCAGGTGGGGAGGGGGAAGTGGAGGAGTGCAGAGTAGTAGAGGCGGTAATGGGTGATGGTGACCGGGGACACCAAGCGGTGGTGTGCCGACGATGGGCGCAGAGTTTGCCTCCGCCTCTTCTTCCTGTCCACACCGGATATGCATCCATCCACATGCTCAAGGATCGCAAACACAGGGAACTATAGTGACAATTGTGGGGGCACCCAATTTAGGCTTGGTGCCCCAAAAATCCACTCGTGATCGTCCAGGATTTCGATCACGCACAGATTGATATACAGAACGGCTTTCGATTATTTACACAGGTTTGTTCATACAAGCTAATTATACAACTGTTAAAGGGTGAAAAGATCCAAATTAATATATCCTTATTTGAAATACAAGAAAATCCAAAGTACTACACTCCTAAACTCTTCAACTACTAAAACTACAACTAATAAACTCCAAAGAATTCCAAAGGACTCCACAGGCAAAAGCTCGAGTGTAGATTAGCCTAGATAAACTCATCGTTGTCGTAGACCTTGCTTCCTTCTGATCTTGTTAGCATGTTTCCTCTATATGTCAAATTATGCAAGGGTTAGTACTTGTGTACTCAGCAAGACATATTATAAATAATTAAAGGTGAAGAGATATGAATAAATACAATAATGATAAAGTAAGGGAATAATAAAAACCATAAATCTTCTTTATCCTTAACATTTTAATTTTAAAACTACTTATACTTCAGGAGTAGGAATCACCCTGATGACACAACTCCAGAACCGGGAGTACGGCACATTCGAATGATTTAATTCACCTCTGCAGAGACTGTCCAGCTTTACCCGCACGATGCCCACAGCTAGCTAGGCTGAGAACAACAGAGCCGTTTGAAGGTCCCACTTACTACTAGTTACTGCACAATGGGGTCTTGGTTCATCATAGTGGTCGAACTCTTGCCATGCCTAGGGCAAGGTATCTATATCGTCACACTTTCATGAATCCCACTGTTGTGAAACACTGCCGCCCAAACTCCTTACGCAAGTTCACCCCAACCGTTCATAGAGCCACCCAACAGTCTTTCATATAGTGGGACAATGTACTAGGCTAAGTCCAATTACTTGGTCGTGTGGATGGACGCAACTATGTCATTTCCCATGGTATAAGGGGGTAATTATAATCCGGTTAAACCACCCAAAACTTTCCAAACTCCCCACACCATCTTCATAATTCAACAACATTCATAATCACAATATTCACAATCTCAATTCATAAATGCCCACTTTAATCGGATTCTTAAGTTTGTAAAGAGGTTTGAATAATAAACCATATAAAATGATCTCGAATGTATCTTTCAATAATATCATGCTTAAAAGCATTTAACATCTATCCACGAGATGTTAAAAGAGCAAACATCATGCATCAAATTTAAATATGAAGATTATATCAAGGTTTCTATATGATCAAAATTTTAATTATGTCTTGCCTTGTGCCTTAAGATTTTCCGCTGCTTCAGCGTAGCCATCTGGGTCCATGTCAACTCCTTGGATGCCGCTAGAATTTGTTGTACTGTCTAACGTACGAATATGAAAAAGATGGCAAATAAAGCCTATAAGAAAATTGTTACAAAGAAACGATAAAATCAAGGAATAAAATCGGAGCGAGGCGAGAGGAGAAAGGAATGGTTCAAAATAGATTTTAGTTTGGAAAACAAAAGAGAGGTTTTGGTTTCTAAAGGATAGAATTGAGGGAAAGGATAAAATGGATAGGTGGGGTTGATTTGGTGGATTTGGTTTTCTAGTCGGTGCTAAGGTAGGGTAGCACGACGGCTAGATATTTGGAGTTGGTTAGCCGATGCTAAAGCATAACGGCTAATTATCTGGGTTGGTTAGCCGATGCTAAGGTTGGGTAGCATGCCGGCTAAATATCGGCTCGTCTAGTCGATGCTACAGTCAAGCAGCACAACGACTAGTGAGTTGAGAAAATTTGTGTAAGTTTGCAAGATGGAAAGTGTTACTCCATTGCCATGAGTGGCAGCAGAGCGGCTAGGATCGCACAGAGCTTGAAAGCTAGTGTGCGGTATGCTGTGGAGGTCGAGGGAGTAGTGAAGCTCCGACCACTGTACGCATCGAGGCGTGGGGTGCGAAGAGCAACACTTCGACCTTAGGATTAGGTTATGCGAGGTTTTACGACCAACGGTTTGACGTCGGGGTTTAAGACCACACGAACGTCTCCATATATAGAAGGCGTAAAGTTTCCACGACGGCTTTTTGGTGGCTAAGGATTGTAAAAGAATGGTTTAAAGAAATTTAAATTCAAAAGGGTTTTTAAATAGATTAAAATTTGAAATGGTATTTTAAAATAAAGAAAAGGGCATTTAAAGAAATTAAAGAATAATTAAATTTTAAAAAGGTTTTTAAATGATAAATTTAAAATTAAAGGGATATAGAGTAAATCAAATAAATTTAAAATAATTTTTAAACGTTAATTAAAATAATTTAACATTAGAAAGTAAATAAATAAATAAGAAAAAGCTATTTAAATAAAGAAATTTAAATAAAATTTTAAAAATAGAAAATTTGGTATCAAAAGAGAGGGTCTGAAATTAGATGAATTTAGGTCAAAGTATTTTTGGAATTGGATCAATGGTTGGAGAGATATGGATGCTCAAAGATTGGAATTGGATAAAAGAAAATGGAATTACTTTATAAAAGGTGGGGCCCGCTTGTCATATGTTTCTTCTACCTCTTCTTCTTTTCTTCTGTCTGGCAGCCGAGAGGAAACAAAGGGGAGGGCAAGCGAGGTGCCGGCTCTCCGGTGGCCGGGAGGTAGAAACGCCGGTGGGAGATGGTGTTCCCGAGCAACGCGCACCCGGGGAAAGTGGTGGAAGGCGGAGGGAGAGAGGGAGATGGCCGGAACGGCCGTAGCAAGAGCTCAGACCGGCCGATAAGAGAAGGTGGTGGTGGCGGTTTAACTCAAGGTGGAGGGAGAGGGGAAAGGGGAAAAATGGAATCACCTCGACGAGGCGGAGTTGGCGGCGCGAGGGTTTGTCTTGCGAACCTCCGGTGAGGGAGATCGGCCGGTGGTACTAATGGTCGGACATGGGAGAGAAAGAGAGAGAGAGCTTGAGGAGGTCGGTTTGTGTGAGGAGGAAGAGGGGACCTCGTCGTCCTTTTATAGGCGGCGAGAGGCGGTGGCGTAAGGCGGTTGCGGAGGAGGAAGATAAGGAGAACTCGGTGGCGGCGGCGTGGAGAAGTGGAGCACGGCGCCAGCTCTGTTCGTTGATTGGTTGGTGATGGCGGTTCGATTCGGCGGCTGACGTCGGCGGCATGACGTCGCAGCTGACGTTGGTGACGGATCCTTCGCGTCGACGGCAAGACGACGGCGGCGGCACAAAACGGCGGACGGCATCGGGAAGTGGCGAGACGGCGGCGACGGCGGCGCCCTGTGCGTGCGCCAAGTGCGCCCACAGGAGGAGGGAGCGGCTCGGCCATGGGCCGATTTGGGCCGGCTCGGCTCGGCTCGGCTGGGCTGACAGCCCAAGAGGGAGGATGGAGGCATGTAGACTTGTGCTGATTGGGTTAATTGAAGGGAATTTGGCCCAAAATGAATAGGGGTTTTAGGAATTTTGTGTGGAGGGATTTGAAATGGAATTTCAAAGGAGATGAAAACTAAGGGGAAATTTGAATGGAGGGTTTCAATAGATTTAAAAGAGAAATATTTGGGGGTCTTTTGAATAAGGGTTTTAAAGCAAAAGGAGTTTGAAATATTTTTAAAATAAAATCAAAGATATTTATTTTAAGATATAAATTTTGAAAAGAATAAAAATAAAGATGCTCCAATTTTATAGAATTCAATAAAAACCAAATATAAAAATTGTCACAAAAGATTTTCTTTAATATTTAAAATGTAAGATTGAAATAATCAAATGGGAGGAAAAGGAACACAAATAATTGATCTTCTAACTTTGGATAAATTTTGGGATGACGTCAAAAATAGATGGAGGTAAATAACTAGGATATGTGGTATGGATTCTTGATGAAATATTTGTGGCTAAAGGAAGTTGGACTTTGAAAAGAAGGAATTGGAAATAAGTTTCTTAGCACAAGAGCAATCACTCAATTATTTGTGATAGTATAGTTCTGGTGCCGAGGAGGAAATCAAGCCATGGGAATCAAACAGGCGGCTCGATCAAAAAAGGAACTTGACCCTAGAATATTTTGGATCGATGTAAAGGAAATAAAGGTTTTTGGGGATAGGTTTAGATAGAGGTGTGATTCAAAATAAATTCCAACAGAAAAGGGAGTTATACTGGTTTAGTCCCAAAGATAAAAATGGTTAATGGGATATAACAGAGAGTCGGGTCAATCAGGGAAATATTGGCCCAACTAAATAGTAGACTTTGAAATCTTGAATGGATAATTTGGAGGAACAGGATTTCAAAGGGGAAATATTTGTGGGAGGATAAACTGGATTTGGAAGTATATGTGGATAGGAATTTCTATAGGAATGGACTTGGTGGTAGATTGATAAACTCTAAATGAAAAGGTATTAACTCTAGAGCTATTGATATTTCATGTTTTCTAGAGATGGTTGAACGGGAATTGAAAGAGTATTTGCTGGAGATGTTCGGGAATGGATTCTAAGGAAATATAATTTAGAGCCAAAGTTAAAGATTAAATAAAATAAACAGAGGGGTTTTTATAAAATTAAAAAGAGAGCGATAAACTTTGCAAATAAAGTTTAGATCCAAATTAAACAAGAGATTAAAAACGAGATTACTCCAATGGAAGAATCAAGAAGAACATGACTTAAAATATTTCGCAAAAATTTTTCCCTGAAATTTGAGTCCGTTACAACAATGCCGGATCAAAACTGAAACGGACGGTGGAGACCGGGTTCACACGGTCGATCTTGGGCAGGATGATCCATCTCTGAGTGGCAGGGTTGTAGACCACGTAGTCGGATTCATCTCTCGTATAATTCTTGTACACGCAGAGGATAAGGCCATTGCAGCAATCCTTGGGAAAGATCGCCCTGTATCTAGACAAGAAGGACAAGGAAGGGTTAGGAACAAGGCAGTGCTCCTCCCCCTCTTCGTCTTTGTTCTTCTCTGCCTTCAATGCTGTCCAATGGGTGGGATTGAGACGAGGATGTCGTGGAGGGGCACGGAGTAGTAGGAGATGAAGCCATAGAGCGTGTGGGGGAGCTTGTGACGGTGGTCATGGTGGGAGATGAGGCGGCGCCAGTGCCAGTGAAGCAGTAGATGGATTTGGCTAGGAGACGCGAGAGAATCTCGTCAGTGAGGTCGGTGGCGGGGTTGTCATCGCCACTGTCGATGCCACCCTCTACAGACCGGCAAAGGGGAGAGAAAAAGAAAGAGAGTGGATGACATGTGGGCCAGTGGGGCCCACACTATTTTCTATGCGTGAATTATAGATGGGGCCTACACATATTTTTTTTAATTCTGATACCACATAAGCATCACTTGGAATGAAGACTAGGTCAACAGCGCCATGTCAGCGCTACGTCAACAAAACCACCCTCCAAAAACGCTGAGGGAGTCATTGCACTAGTTTGAATAGTTCGAGGAGTCATCCTATCCATTTTTGCGATTGAGGGCTACAGGTTAGATTCGGGTTACTTTTAAGGGAGTCAAGGTGGACTTATTCCTATTAGATATCATTAATTGGAAATATATGCTGCGGGACAATAGAGGTGGGCTGCTGATGGTGATAGCTCAGTACGGGTATTCGTCCATGTTAGTATATATTCCTAAGACACTTTGCTGGGGAGGGTACTCCTCCGTATTTAGCCCAGGTTGGACGGCCAAGACAGGTTATCGTAAGAAAATAGGCAATCAGTGGTGGTATCTCGATACACCGAGAGGGCACTGTTAGGGATATTGGTTGCACGACTGTGTACTAGCAAATGTAAACTAAAGATGAGTCTATATAAGAAGTTTAGGAATGATTTCTCTTCTTATTCTTGCTCCACAGTCTAGAATTATTTAATGAGAGAATCTGAGTCCTTCTGCTTTGTGTCACTCTACCCAATTAAATAAATTTACCTCTACTTAGACTTTGATGCATACAAATAATATATAAATTATTGGCATAGTTCTCTCTTATAAATCCTCCCTTGGGATTAAATAAATATGATACCTTGGAATATTTTCGGGTGAAATGCTACAGTGGTATATCCGCGCGCTTGCGGCTTACTTCTGTAACCATAAATATACCAGGACTATTTCTGCGCCATTGCTGGGAATTCATATTTCTAGTAATGTCCTTATGAAATACCAACACCATGGAGCATTGCTCCATTTTCGGCCGGAACTCGAATTTCTCCTCCTTTCCATTGATGCGGAGCCGGATTTCTCTAGCTCCCACATCAATGTTCGTCTCTGCGGTGCTCAGGAATGGATGCCCAAGGATGAGCGGCATGTCTTTATTGGAGTCCATATCCAGCACCACAAAGTCAACATGGACGAAGAAATCCCGGATCTTCACCGGGATATCCTCAGCGATACCCAACAGGTAGTGGACCGAGGAATCAGCCAGCTGGAGCTGCATCGGTGTTCACGAAAACACCATGAAATTTACCCTGTCGAAGACTTCCTTGGGCAAAACGCTCACTCTTGCCCCAAGGTCGTATAGGGCCTAGTCGAAGTACTATGTCTCGATCAAGCAAGCAATCGTGAGACAACCTGGATCCTTCTTCTTCTAAAGAAGCCAGTGGAGTATAGCATTTCTACACTCCTCCGTTAAATTTATTAGCTCCATGGTTGCCATTGGTCGTTTGTTGTTTAACATGTCCTTGAGGTAGCGAGCATAAGTTGGAACTTGCATCGCGTCCAGAAGAGGGACATTGATGTTGATCTTCTATATCACCTCGACAAAGTGAGCGAACTGCTCATCCACAGACGGCTTCTTGTTGCACTGAGGAAATGGCAGCATGTTGGTGTCGCAATATTCTGGCGGCGTTGTCTTTCCTTGTTGTGGATTTTCGATATCTCCAACAGTGTTGAATGGAGCATTGTTCTTGCCTTCCTTGCTTGAGCCTACAGTGTTAGGATACAACGGATCGCAAGTGGAATTTAGCTCCCCTCGTGGTTACCGCCTTAACATTTTCTAGAGAAGGCTCGGGTTGCCCTGTAATCTTCCTAGATTTATGAGTAAGAACAAAAGCAGCCAGCTGAGCTAATTGTGTTTCTAGAATTTTATTGAAGTTCGACTGGTTTTGAAGAGCAGAAGCAAAACCATCTAACCTTACATTTATGTTTTCTAAGACTTTGTCATTAGCAGCTAATTTCCTAGATAGAGCATCGGTTATTTTAGCTTGGCCAAAGACAAGATCTTTTTAACGAGGGTTGATTTTTATTGAAATTACCATTGTTACCTCCTTGATAGAAAGGGTGGGGCTGGTTCCACCCTTTACCTTCTTGTGGACGATACTCGTTGTTATTATTGTTCATGAACATTACCTCTTCATGGGTCTCCAGACAGTCGTTCCAGAATGACCAGTATTGCCGCAGATCTCACATGTCATGTGAGAGTCTAGGGCCTTAACGGTACCCTGTTTCGTTTCCTTCTCCTTATCGTCCAAGTGCTTCATCAGGAGTTCTAGCTTGGCGGCAAGCATTTCCATCTCCTTGACGGTGTTCATGCCCCTTTGACGGGGTTGGAGTCGCTCTTCGCTCCATCCCATGCTAGAGACCATCTTCTCAATTAAATCAACTGCTCCTCTGACGGTCTTTGCAAAGAAGGCTCCTCCAACAGCAGTGTCCATGTGGAAGAGTTAATAAAGCATAAAAATAAAAATATGAGAAGGACTAGTTAATCTAGGAAGAGGGGGCATAATATGAATCAAATATAATAATTATGTAAGTGTCTATGAGATTAGGACAGAGGGATTAATTACTTTAATAGATCTATAATGGTTAAAAATAATAGGTTGAATGATTTAAGTGTAAATCGATGGTGTGATGTTTTTCTTTTTCTCACAGCTTTTTGAATTTTTGATGTTAAATTATGGCAAAGATTAGCAGTGAGGGATTAATTAATTAAATAAATCTAATCTAATCATCGGTTTACGTGTAAATCGATGATCTGATTCTTTTGCATTTTACTCAGAACTGTTTGGATTTTATTGATCTTAACTTAA